TTTTATTTCTTGCGCAACATCCCCTTCCCATTCGAAGTCAAAACTAAATTATCAGCAAAAAAAAAAATTAAATGAAGCAAAAAGTTTCATTCGTTCCCGAATATCTACATCAGCGTGAATGCAATACCACCAGCATCAAAGAAAAAAGGCAATCACTCGTGAGATGCCAAAGACCTTGTAAGCTTCCAAGCGCGGTGAAACTAGGATTTGTGGAACTTAGGATCAGATCTCTTCCAGTATATGCTATTTCAAATTTCAAACAAACCCCCACACCATAAAGTTTCTGGAGGTTTCAGCACTGCCCGAAGAAAATGAGTACATTATAACAACAAGCCTTTGAAGTGGTAAGAAAGTACTCCTTCAGATTTAAATCAATTCTGTTCTAAGCTTGGATCCAAAATAATCGTGTATGTTTTAAAAGTGTGAGAAGAAAAATTTTGCAATAAAATCTCCCATCAATAAACAAACAATTTCTTCAGAAAGAAAAATGTGATTTACAGATTCAGTTCAGTACTTTGATTAGCCATAGTACTCCAGCGTCATCGATGCAACTGGCAACGTTTTCAAGCGACAAAAGTTGTATCACTTGACAATCAACTTAAGGGGACCCTAGCATTATTCCTCTGCTTTCGTTCTGCCACAGGCGAATGCTAGATTCCTGTCCATCGTAGAGACTAGAAATAGTGGGCTACAAGTTAATCGCTGAGAATTTTTTTCCGATATACATTTGACAGCATTAAACAAACTGTTCCAGATGTCCGCGAAAAGTCGGTAAAAAAAAGTATGGGCTATTCATCGTAGCGGTAGCTAGACTCAATAAAATCTGTATATATCGATGGTCAAAAACAGAGATTCAAATGCTTCAATTTGTAGCACGGAGCGTAACGGTCGAAGTGCACTGATCAGCGCACCATGATTTGAAAATTTCGAAAATGAAATAGTGAGGAATTCGATTTCTTTCCAATCCAAATTTTCGCAAGGACGGGTCCATCTTTGAGATAAGCAGCATTTTTGGCCGGGCGAAATTTAAGAATTTATCACGAAAAAAAAAAAAAACACTGGACCCTATTTGACTATTAAGTTCTACCACGACAATCAAAATCGGTCATAAACTTCAGTGTGGAGTCCTCAGTGTAATTAATATGCAGGACTACACCCAGTTGCTTCCAAAAAAAAGAGAGAAATAACTAGTGGTGATCCCGAAACCGATAATACAGGTCCACTAAAACGCAGGCTGCAATCGTCACCGTCTTATCTAAAAAAACTTTTCGGGCACCGTCTTATCTAAAAAAAGTCAAAGTGCGAGCTCAAAATAATTCATTTGAGCGCGTGACGGCCTAATATGCACAGACTTCAGAAATTACGCGCCCCAGAAATTCGACTTGCCGCATTTGAAAGCACAGTACAGAGTACTCCTTTAAGAACCTCCAGCATAAATCTGTTCATCATCTGAATCTATACTGAAACGACAGAATAAATGATGATGATGAGATGCAGCTGAAACGTCGTACCCAGCAAACCCAAACCGGCAGCAGACAACCA